CGCTCGACCTGACCGGAGAAAACCGTAGCAGGAAGCTAGCGAAGTCGTAGTATATATCGTCAAATAGAACTGCCCGGTATATATATATATATCGTCATATATATATCGTCAAATAGAACTGCCCGGTATATATATATATATAATTATGTATATATCGTCACAAACAGAACTGCCCGGTAAAACCGTAGGCAGAGAGAGAGAAGAGGACAACAAACGAGGGGCTGTGACAAACTGTTTCGTCGGAGTTTCACCGACTCATCAGGAGGCTATACATATGTATATAATATTATATATATATAGATATAGATATATAAGCCCAGGTTGTTGTAGAGGCCATGTTCCAGACACATGGTGGCGACAGTCGCTGCGTCAGCCAGCGATTGGTTGTCCTGATACAGTTGGCTGTATCTGGCCGGAAATACAGCTTGTATACAGCCATTGGTGGCGACACATGCTGAGACGGCCTCCCAACCCATCTCTCATCAATTCTCCCAGCGCACCCCCTATTCCTACCGTCTTCCCCCCGAACACAACGCACCCTCATTTTGCCTGTATCTGGCCGGAAATACAGCTTGTATACATTCATTTTTAGGGTGCGTTATGTTTGGGGGAAGACGGTAGTATCGTACCTCAGTCACAGGCTCACAGGCTCACCTCATTATCTCAGAGCATGACTTGGGGCGTTGCCGCACGGCACACTAAACGAAAAACGAAACGAATGTATCTTCCCCCAGAAAATGGCCAGGTTCATCGGTTTGCTATAATATAGTAACGACTGTATTTTGCCACCTTTGGTGGGCAGATGCACTCGTTTCGTTTTCGTTCCGTGTGATGTGCCGCAAGACCCTTGGACTGAATAGCAATTACAGGCACCAGGACTTACCGTCGTCACCCGAATAGAACGCCCGGCGGTCATTATAGCTTGTATTTGGCACAACTTTCAGGCCAGATACGGCTATAATTACCGGGCACACGTGGTGACGTGGTTAACCGGGACCTTGGGGTGAAGAGGGTAGGCATGCTCAATGGGACAAGCCCTGACTGGCCCAGCTTACGCAAGGGTTGGGCGGATCACGGACAAGCCCAGAGCGGCTACCGTCTTCCCCCGAACATAACGCACCCTAAAAATGAATGTATACAAGCTATATTTCTGTCCAGATACGGCCAAAATACGGCTGCGTTGTGTTCGGGGGAAGACGGAAGTATTGACTTCTAAGTTCTAAGGGATTCCACCAGCTGAGTGGGAAACTTTCACCGCTTCGCACCTAATTCACCGGCTTAATATGAACAAAATGATATTAAATGGCATTCAATTTGAATGAATCAAAAAAAAAAAAAAAAAAAAAAAGGATCAGACGGGCAACTTGAAGATGGCTTGTATACAGAGTCGCTGAAAAGTCTGTCCTTCACCGGAGCCTCGTCATGACTGTAGTGAACCAGTTTTGATTCTTTTGAAGGCATTCCTGCAGTTGAGCTAGCGGCTCTC